GGGAAATCCATTAGCAGCTGATTGCTACACTGTTGCAATCGGTTAATGGGAGCCACACGAACCCCTGTGTGTGGGCTCCCATTCAGTACTTTATTAGTTTCACGAACAGTGTGGAAAGTCACTGTTCGTGAAACTACCATATGAATGCTAGCGGCTTTTGGCCGCTAGCATTCGAATGCTCTCTATTACAGTTATAAGTAAATACAGAAACTAACAGAATTGGACCAGCTTTCTAGGACAACCTTTAGACATATAACCGCACAATCTAAAGTGGCTAGGTTTGCCACAATGACGCTAATGACTTCATGGCCCGCCAAAACATTTGATTTTGAATGTTTTGGGGGGGTGGCTATAGAATTAAAGCCATAGGCTATAAAAAAGTTGCTTAGGACATTGATCATTGCCCTGTTGTTGTTCTTGTTTACAGTTCCCAAGAGTGCGTTAATATCTGTGTTTTTCTGGTATTTGGATCTCGGCTTTCCCTGATTATTCTTCATTCTGTATTCCTGTGACTCAGCTATTGGTTTTCGCTTCTCTGATTTCTAGTTTCCCTGACTCAGCTTGTAGCTGACCATTCTAATTTTAACAACGTCTAAGCCCGGCCATTCTAAGGACTGCTATTCGTTGTCTAATCTATTATCATATGCACGCTGCGTGTTGAGTCACTAGATATCGTGACAGCCAATCTGTGTGCTGCAAAATATATATATATATATACAAGATAATATTATGCATAAATCTTTTCGCAGTACACCGATAGGAGCATATTCCTACAATTAGGTTAACAGATCCAGTTAGTAAAGGTAACCAATAGAGGGGAAAATCAGCACAGAAAAAAAATATATATATTTCGGCTCTGCAAAATAATATTTTCTTAAGATAGAAAATTTTCTGACAAATCTGGATTTCAATCAGATGTTGGTTCAGCTCTGTCAAATGTCATTTTGGAAACCGAATCAGATCAAAAACCAAAGAGGTGCAAAAATGTGCCAACCAGAGTGCTACAAAATATATATGAGATAATATTTTTTACAATATATAAAATAATATATTTATTTATTTATTTATTTTGCAATACACTGATAGGAGAGTTTTACTGCCATTTGGATAACAGACCAAGTGAGAGAAAATAAATGACTGCAGAACAATCAGGGGTATTAATGGTAAATTTTCAGGCTGGACAAAAGTGGTTAGTGGTGTCCCTCAGGGTTCTGTTTTGGGACCGCTTCTATTTAACATATTTATAAATGATATTGAAATAGGCATTGAAAGCCATGTTTCAGTGTTTGCAGATAACACAAAACTTTGTAAAGTAATAAAATGTGAGCAGGATATTGCCTTGCTGCAGAGGGATTTCGATAGATTTGGTGGACTGGACACTAAAATGGCAGATAAAATTTAATGCAGAGAAATGCTAAGTTATGCACTTTGGGGTAAAGAATGCAAAAGCAACTTACACCCTAAATGGTAGTGAATTAGGGATACACTAGAAGGATACACTAGAATGATTTGGGAATTGTTATAAACAACAAATTAGGCAGCAATATGCAATGTCAATCTGCAGTTGCTAGGGCCAGTAAGGTTTTGTCATGTATAAATAGGGGCATAAATTCTCGGGATGAAAATATAATTTTGCCTCTTTATAAATCACTGGTAAGACCACACCTTGAATATGCTATGCAATTCTGGGCACCTGTTCTAAAGAATGATATCATGGCACTAGAAAAAGTGCAGAGATGAGCTACAAAATTGATAAAATGAATGGAGCATTTTAGTTACGAAGAAAGGTTCAAACATTTAAGTCTTTTTAGTTTGGAAAAACTGCGCTTTAGACGGGATATGATAACATTATACAAATATATTTCGGGCCAGTACAAACCTTTATCTGGAAATCTATTCATAAACAGGACTATACATAGGACACGAGGTCACGCATTTATGCTGGAAAATAGGAGATTTCATCTAAGGCAAAGAAAAGGTTTTTTTTACAGTAAGAGCAATAAGGATATGGAATATCTGCCTGACGAGGTGGTTTTGTCAGAGTCACTACAGATATTTAAACTGCAATTGGATAAATTCTTACAAAAACATAACATACAGGGATATAATTTCTAATTAATGGGGTAATAGCTGCTAGATCCAAGGAGACATCTGACTGCTATTTTGGGGTCAAGAAGGATTTTTTTTCCTAGTTTGTTGCAAAATTGGGAGTGCTTCAGACTAGGTTTTTTTGCCTTCTTTTGGATCAACAGCAAAAACGTATGCGAGGAAGGTGAACTTGATGGACGCAAGTCTCTTTTCAGCTATGTAACTCTGTAACTATGTAAGGGCAGAAAAAGAAAAACTATATTTAATATAGATATATTATATATTTATTACATATATAATATATAAATATAGATATATGTATTTCCTGTTACTCCTGTTTTCCCCTCTGTCGCTCACTACTCATTTGATCTGTGAATAAAATTATCAATAATGACTGTCCTTTAGCTATCAATCATCTTTTTTTTTTTACCATCAATCATCTTTTTTTTTTTTATGCCACAGGCAGAATTCAGAATATTGTCTCTCCCCCTCCCCCCACACATGTTTGGTATTGTGTGGTTCATTTAGCTCATAACCTAGATATATTCCAGCTCAGAATTTGGAAATTCAGCTGAACATTGTAGTTCGAAATGAACCTCCAAGTCTAGATACTGCATGTGGTGCATTCAGTGTACTCAAAGGTCCAATATGTAAAGCATATTATAACATATTATAAAAAATATCATACTAATTTAGTGATATAATTAAAGGTACACTATAGTCACCAGACTGGCCACTCCGCAGATGGCTACTAGAGGTGCTTCCTGGGGCAGTGCTGCATTGTACTACTCTCCACACCATCCACACATTTTAAGTGCTGAAAATGGGCACCCCATAGTGGTCAGGTGCCTCCTCCGCCTAATGGGAAATCTGGCCCTGCTTTAAATACTTTTCCAGCCACAGGTCCATATATTCCAGGCCGAGATGTTGAACCCTTCATGAATACAGTAACCACATCTGCCTTTCTCCATTCATCTGGCACAATTTGTGAAATAAAAAAAATAAATAAAAAATAAATAAACATTTACTAACAAACCCAGCTCTGATTTCAGTGAATCTATACTAATCACTTTTTTCGCTTTATTGGCTTCCTTATATTTTATATTGAATGCCTCTATTTTTCTGATTTACATGATTTAAATATAATTTTCTTATTTAAAATTTCTTGGCTTACCTTCCTACTAAGCCACATTGTTTTCAATTTGTTTATTTTATATTTGAATATGCAGATATTTATACATTTCTATTATATTTGTTTGAAGAAATTCCATTTATTCTCTGTTTTTTTCATGAAAGAATTTATGACAGTTAATGAGTTGTAAAGTGTCCCTTGTATTGAATTTGGCTTTTTTACAATTATATGACTTAGCATTCCCCATGTGCATTTGTTTTTTTTAGTTTATTTCAATAGACACAGTATTGTGATCACCATTTCCCAAGTGCTCCCGTACTTGAATGATGGTCAAAAGATTCACATTGTAATAACCATATCGAGACAAGCATCCTTTCTAGTTGGTGCTTCTACCAATTGTAACATAAAGGTGTAATTTGACAAATTCAGAAACCTGATTCCACTAGCTGAACCACAACCCCAATTATTTATCCAATAATTCAGTGGTTATATGTGGAGCTTTCCCAATTTGCTCTAACACCTGTTCTTCTTCATCAATATCAAGTGATTTAGAGCATTTTTCAATAAATAATTGGTGCAACCATTTAAGTTAACTGCTCAGATGTTGTCTGTATTCTAGAAGCCAGTTAAGTGGGAATACACTAAACACAACATATATTATTTGCAGGCTGCATTATCAGCCTGTACTAGTCTACAGGCCCGGACGGGCCATCGGGCACACCGGGCAGGCAGGGGAGGTCCCAGGATCTCTCCTGCTAGTCTTTGCAGGGCCGGCACTATCTGAACGCCGGCCCTGCAGTAGTCTACAGCGGGCCGGTGGGGAGATCAGAGATCTCCCTCACCGGCCCACATGCAGGATAGTGCGGCCGCCGGGGGAGAGAGGGAGGGAGCCAGCCTGCCAGCAGAGGAACCCGGCGGAGCTTTAACTTACAGCTCCGCCGGGTTCCTCTCGCGAGATTCGGAGCGTTGCCATGGCAACGCTCTGGGTCTCGCGAGAGTGAACTCTAGCCCAACAGGCTAGAGTTCACTCACCACTAGGACCACCAGGGATGGATGGCAGCCCCAGCAGCAGGATCCCCCCTCCCAGGCATAAGGTAAGCAGGGAGGGGGGATATAATCACTCAGGGCACAGCAGCCTCACAGACACCCCTAACACTCACTCACACACACTGCACCCCTGACACTCACAGCATCCTCACTCACACACACTGCACCCTTGACACTCACAGCACCCTCACACACACTGCACCCCTGACACTCACAGCACCCTCACACACACACACACACACTGCACCCCTGACACTCACAGCACCCTCACTCACAGCACACACACACACACTGCACCCCTGACACTCACAGCACACACACACACTCACAGCACCCTCACACACACTGCACCCCTGACACTCACAGCACACACACTGCACCCCTAACACTTACAGCACCCTCACACACACACACACTGCACCCCTGACACGCACAGCACACACTCACTGCACCCCTGACACACACACACACACACACACTGCACCCCTGACACACACAGCTTCCTCACACGCACATGGCACCCTCACGCAAACACAGCACCCAATCACACACAGCACACACACACAGCACCCTTACCCACATAGCACCCTCACGCAAACACAGCACCCATCACTACACACTACACACCTCACACACACTGCACCCCTCACACACACTACACACACACACACTCACCCTCACACTGCACAATATGCTTTCCTGGCATTTTTGTCTCCTGGTATCCCAACTATGGAGACACCAGAGACAAATTTCAAGCAAACACAGTGCAAGCATGTTATTGAATTTGCTTGCGCTGTGCAGAACAAATACAGGGTCTTTTTCTCATGCCAGAGCTCTTCAGCAGAGCTCTGCGCATGGTCTACCCTGAAAGAGCATTGAACCAACATGCTCACTTTGTGATGGGGCGTGCTTGTCATTGGTGATGACAAAACACACCCTATCTGGCCCCGCCCCCTTTGTAGTGGGCCGCTGTAATTAAAAAATGTCCGGGCCGAATTTTCTTCCCAGTCCGGCCCTGCTAGTCTATATATGTTGCATATGTTTCGTGTAGCTCTATTTGTTGTATGTGGGTGGTAAGTCCACATAGACACATAGACATATTATTTGTAAAATGTAGGGGTGTTTTTATAAAACTGTATTCAGAGATTCATTTACTTAATTCAGAGAAATACCAAGAGGTTCCTAACAAAGAACCACATTTATAAAACAAGATGCTTGAATGGCTAAGGACTGTCAGGCAAGCTTCACTAAAACATACTATATGGCCTGTGAGTTCACTTGGGGACATGACAAGATTTAAATAGTGTACTTTCTCTAGAAAAAATACAGAGCTTGCAAGTTTTCTGTATTGTTATGTACTGTTTGGGTTGCCACCTGGCTGGTATTTGAGGATTTCTAGCTGATGCTAGAATTGTAAAAAATGTGAAACAATTTTACACTTTATCTTAATAAACAGTGTCATGCTAATAGGTATTTTTTTTAACTTTATTTTCTTAAAGCGGCACTGTCACTGTCTTAGGACTTTACTGTATTCACAAAGACCCCCAACGGTGAAATTGCTGCTCAGGGTGGGGGCAGGTAAAGGTGAGATCTAGTTACCTGAAACTGTCTCTCATGGGCATGGCATCTTCCTCCGGCAGGTCCTCTTCGGCGCAAGAGTACAACATTGAGGTCTATAGAGGATTGGAACTGTGATGGCTCTTTAATGAATCTGCCCACTTAGAAAATTATCTTTCTGTGTTTGCTGGAATTGAACATAAGATTCTTGAGATTATATTATTAACACTTCTGCCATAAAATGTATATATTGGAGATTTATTTTTCATCACTGAAGTATAAAGAGGAAGAAGAATCCAGATACTGAATACTTTCATGCAATTATTTGGACACATATCTGTGGTCTTTCAGTTTGGAATTTTATTCAATATTGCTATTTGTAATCTTAGTGCTGCCATTTACTTATTTTGAAATTGCATTCATTTCTTTTGAAAACCAATTTATATTATAGGCATATTTGCCTAATTCATTTATGCAATTGCGGATATACATGAAGAGCTGAAAGATTTTTTTTATTTTTTATTGTCTTAGTTTTTGAACAGCACACTATCTCTTACTGGTTCAGCAGCTTTATACTATAGTATTAAGTATCTGTTGTGGCATTAGGCTTATTTTTCGAGCAGTTGATATTTTATTTGTATTTTCTTTTTGATTATTTTTTATGGTAATTTTCAATGACTGGACTCTGGGAGAATGGTGAGAGAAATTCAGCTAGAATATGCTCCTCTATTACATCCGACAAATACACATGTTTTTATACACAATGGCACACACACAGTATGAATACACTGCTCTACACACTCACACATACTCAAAATATGCACACACTACTATACATACACTAATTCAGGCAGTAAACACAATGACACTCACTGCTGTACACAGAATATACACAGCAATACTACACACACAATCAAACACAGTGTACACACTGACACAAACTCATAGTATTCAAATACTACTTGATACTCCTACTATGCAGGGTGCACACACTGCTACATGTATAGTCAGACATAATGCACACATTGCAAGTAGTTTTTAAGGGATTTAGCAAATTTTTCCCTTCTAAATGTTTTATTTTTCCTCCTATGCCTCTCCGTGGTATGTGACATAACATTCGGTGACATTGTGTCTTGTGATGTAACGCATATATAATTAATTATGAAAATGTTCATGGACTCTATTTTTCCCCAAGAAAGGTAGTGACCCTACCACCTCTACTGCTGTTATGTGAATATGTGAATATGTGTAATTCCCAATAAAGATGACTTGACTTGTCAGTTTACTGTATGTGATTGTCTCCAATCTTGTGTGTTGCAGCCTCACAGCACAATTTTTCTACAGCAAGGTTAGAAGTGTGCCGCAGGGTTGAGGCAGCATGCGGGAATTGATCAGGACCTTTGGTAGCCCAGCCCTGTGTGGATTTGTGCTCTTCGAGCACATGACTAGCCCTGTGGGATAATTGCTGCGGCTGACCAGGCTATCCAAGTATGTAGGAGTATGCATGATTATGAGGCATTTGCAAGTGAGACAGTGCTCATGATTTTACCACATGGGTCCCCCATTGCAACAATTGGTGGCCCTCTCCTGATGCTTACTGATACGTTAGTACTGGAATAAAGATAACATGTATATTTAACCATTTGGAAAAGTGGATTTTCTCAGCAATTAATAAAGTATAAGAGCAGAATTAAATTGCTTTTCTGATTTTCCTCTCTGGAGAGTTCATGGCATTTACTTTTTTTATCAAAATAATTTTTGATGAATTCTTATTCCGTTTAAACTCTTTAGAAAACAACAGAATCATTAGAAATTAGCCCCTTCATGTTTGCTTAAAGATTGTACCAGGTGAATCCAGGCACATCATAGAATATGGATTATCTGACATTCCCACCTCTTATTTAGTAATTGCATGCTCATTATCTGGCTGTATTTAAAAAAAATAAAAAATAAAAATACTTTTTCTATATACAGTTTATTTAGCAAGTTAAATAAGTTCAAATATGTTTAGTTTGTTAACTTACTAAAAAAATGTCCTTCATGACTTAGTGTTCAATAAATGTCTACCTTTTGTTCTAAAAAATAATTTATTGAATGCAAACCCTAATGAAATATGCAGAGTATGTCCATTAGCTCCTTAAGGCAATAATGGTGGAAAAACATACTTCTTTATAGAGGAAACCCTCCTACCCCCAGGAGACATCACTGTGCATATTTAGACTCTATCTCTATTAAATATATGTATACAATTTTAATAGGCAGGTCATGTTTTTACATCCTGCAATATATGGCGTAATTGTGCTTGCACTATGGGACTCCTGTTTTGGCCTGCTTCTATTTGCAGCTACTTCCAACAATTTAAAATCTCTTCCCTTACTGATATGCTCACACAGACACAAATGCGCACAAATGCCGTTGCTCACAGATGCTAGCAAATATTTGTAGAAAAACTCACATGCACACATAGACACAAGCATATGCTTGCACACACATGTTCACATGAACACTGTCACACAGACTCACTCATGCAGACTTTAACATGCACACATACTACATACACTCAACTCACAAACATAGGTAGTTGCATTGTTACGGTCCCTCAACAAACCGCCTCCACCAAACATGTCTTTTTTGTAAAACCGCAATCTAATATTTATTTACTCATACACAGCGCACATTGCTGTATGAATATTGCTGTGGAGTCCTGTGATATATAGTTCAACACACTGTACACCATTGCAATTTATATTACTGTGAGGCTCTCTGACACACTCATTCACTTGTAATCAAAAATATTCAACCTCCATTGAGAATAAGGTTGATTGTCAAAATGTACAGACTTTCAGCTGTTTGCAATGAACAAATTAAAAAAAGCAATTGAACTAGCTCAACACAATGAATGTTTTAGGTGGTTTTCCCAAGTTTAACTGAAAATGCAACTTATAAGGACTTCTTCAGTGTGTGTGTGTGTGTGTATGTGTGTGTGTCTGTCAGTGTGTGTGCCAGTGTGTGTGTGTGTCTGTGAGTGTGTGTGTCTGTCAGTGAGTGTGTGGGTTTGTCAGTGAATGTGTGTGTGTGTGTCAGTGAATGTGTGTGTTTGTCTGTGATTGTGTGTCTGTCAGTGTGTGTGTTTGTGTGTCTGCCTGTCAAAGTGTGTGTGTGTGTGTGTGTGTGTGTGTGTCTGTCACACATGTTGGGGTTTGTCACAAGGAGGAGCTGGGGGTGGAAGAGACACATAGATGGGCTGGGGGGAGAGACACATTGAAGAGACACATGTGGGTTGAAAGACACATTGAGGAGCTGGGTGGGAGAGACACATGAAGGGGTGGGAGAGAGACATGGATGGGCTGGTTGAGAGAGACACATGGGAGTTGGGAGAGACACATGGAAAGTCTGGGGGGGGTGAAACATATGGAGGGACTGAAGGAAAGAATGAGACATGTGGAGGGGCTGGGGGAAGAATGAGACATGTTGAGGGGCTGGGGGAAGACATGGTGTGTGACACTTGGGGGGTGGATGAGACACATGGGGGTACCCAAGGGCAATTTTCACAGCAGGGCCCGGTTGTGTCTAGTTAAACCTCTGAGTGTATTCTCTTGGTTAGAAATTTAATAAATATAATATTAGTCACAGTTTCTTTCTGTTACTGAAGAGAGAAGACATTTTGTAAAAGACTATTAAGATTGTAAAATACAATACCCAGCACACTCATTAAAAGTAATTTCTCTCTAATGTTATGGTTATATTATATGACATTTAGTATATTTGACATAAATAAACTACAAGTATTTAATTTTGCCACTCTTTAGAAGTTAATACTTTTTATTTTATAGAATGAGCCCCTGCAGTATACACAAAGTTGACTTTGTAGTTAGACTAGAATAGTACTATTTCATCAAGGACACTCAGGACGTGTTCTATGTGACATCCACACCAGACACCTGGGAAACCAAAAGTGCTATTCCCAGAAGTTCAAATACTACATTACTGAGGTTTGTGTGCCAGAGGTGATGTAATATCTCTTAATAAACCCTGGCTGACTCATTCCAAAATCTGGATTAAATATACTCTTCTGTGGCAACATCAATATACAAATTGTTACATACATAGACGTCATTTGGCAATTGACATACTGGCCACATTTCTTAAGTCCTTTTCCGTCCTTACTATAACTCCTTAGATACGTACCTTTCACTTACTGTACGTTCCTGTATTTTTGGTGATTGCATTAAAGGATCACTATAGGGTCAGGAACACAAACATGTATTCCTGACCCTATAGTGTTAACACCACCATCTAGCCCCCCTGGATCCCTCATGCCTCCATAAATATAGGAAAAATCTTACTGTATTCAAGCCTGAAGTATTCAAGCCTGAAGCTCTAAATCTGCATGCTGTTAGACTAAGAAAAACAAGCAGTCTGCTGACATGTG